CTTAAAAGCATCTGGCCACAAAACACTTTTCTAGATATAATACACTATAAACTAATGTTATTCAGGACATACTTTAAGAAGTGTTTCTCTAAGCTATCTTTTGTACAGGAAAGGTCAGGTCTTGCTGGGTATCCACCAGAAAAGTAGAAGCTTGACACCTGCTCAACTGCATTCAAATCATACAGAGGGGTCATTTATTTTGTTTAGAATCCAGGCCTCATTTTTTCTAGTGTGCCCCTGAAGCATTCAAATTAGTTAGTTCTATGCAAAAACATGCTGCAATTAAAATTTGCTCAAGGACAGAGATTCAAAAATCATTATGAGGATACCATGGGACTTTCAAGGACCACCTATCTCTATTTCCATTATGTGTACCATTAGATAACTGATAATCTGATACAGACTTTTGACTTGAATTGATGTCGGGATAAAACTGTTTAACATGTAACCTTTACCATCCATTTTTATTTTAAATCATGACAATGTTTTTTTTTTTTTTTTCTATATCCAATAGTCTGAAACATTGGCCTGTCCAAAGTTTCCCAACAGTAGTTAAGCAAGTTCAACTTTAAATTCTGTCAGAAGACTGGAATGGAGTTCTGCTGGATCAAGTGACCTGGGCTCATTTAGTAATGTACAGTTTCTTGTGATAGATTTGCACATAACCCTCATAAAACTCTACTGGTGTGGTGATAAAATTCATTTGGTGCTGAAGTTTTAATTATTCATGCTGTTTAATATTTTAAGATAGTTATTTACATCAATTTTGATCAACTAGTGATCTGTTTTACCTTAATGACTTTTGGTAGTGAAGGTTTTTAAAAAACAGGCCTATAGCTTCCTAGGAGATTCATATTTGCTTTTCAAAGGCTACAATTTCATAAAAATCATACCACACCAATCTGTGAATAATATATTAAAATATTATATCTAGCTAGTATATTACATTTAATATGTATTTTCATATTTGATCCTAATAACAATTTTATGAGGTTGAAAAAATCAAGACATCATCAGAGAGCCCACAAAACAGCTCAAAGTGTAAATCATTGTTTGCTCTTTTTTATTATTACCTACAATGTGTATAGCTGGCATTCCTGCCCCTTAGTCCATCCCTTACCTCCACCATCACTATGGAGAGTTTTGTTTTCTACGTTATTTATGTCTTTAGTTACTTGAATTTTTAAATAATTAATTATTTTTATAATCAGAGTCAATACTTTTTTTAAGTTTGTTAGAACCAAGCTGATATTCTTAGGGAATATTAGTTCTAAGGGCATATCAGATCCATTATCAAAAACTTCCTTTTCAGCACTAAACATAAAATATCTATATTACTGGGTGAAACAAAATAACTTTCAGAAACACAGTTAAGGATTTTATGAACAAGTCTGGGGCTGAGAACAAGGACTCAACTCTTATTCCATCCACAAATGTTAGAAGGGTAGCATAATCATGAAGCTTGCAGAATGCAGTTGGTTTCTGCTTGGATTTTCAAGAAGAAAACAGGGCAAGTACCATCATTAAGTAGAAAATATATTTATACATAATTATCAAAATAGGTGAGTATTAACATCATTCGCATTAAGAAGAAAGAAAACAAATGGAGATGCAGATCATTAAAGGCACAAATGAATTCTCACAGAAGGAAGAGAAACTTGGGTGAGAATGATCAATGAACTTCTGAGATGAACAAAGATGCCAACATCTGCATCACAGTTAATTTGTCTGCCACACAGTGCCTAATCTCTTTTCTTTTTTTAAAGATTTATTTATTTATGCATACCAGAACTGGGGTGTAGGCCAGAGGTGCAGAGAGTGAGAGGATTCACCAGAGACAGAGTGGGGAACAGAACAGAACAGACTGACTGAAATACACTGCTGAGGGGAGCAGCGGGCAAGACAGGAGAGGTCTGCTGAGCCATATGGGTAGCTCCCTGGCTGGAGATCAAACTCGTGCTGCAGTGGCTATGGACAGCTTCATCGGTTGCATCTTAACCCCTTGTGTCACTGGGGAGGCCCTCTCTTTTCTTATATGCTATTTCGAAGTTTGAAGCTCTCTCTCTCACTCGTATCTATGGATGGGCAACAGTGATGGATATGGCTCAGGCATTGGATGATTGTGTTAGTTTCACATATTAATTTTTGTGCAACTGCACCAAGGTGACTGCTTCAAATAATAATTTCCAACAAATGTGAAGGGCAAATATGGTCACCATCTACAGATGAAATAATTTTTATTCTTCATCTCAGTCTCACACTTGATTTGCTAGGTCACCTTTTGGCTTCAGATATTAAAAGCACTGTGTATTTATGTTTGTGTGTGCTTTAAATTCACATTTCAGTGATCAGAGCTGACTGAATGATCCCACTCAACAACCATTCTCTGTTCACACATAAAGCTTATTCAAAATTATATCGCTAATGATATGAACAAGTTGATCGAATATTGATCTGATATTTTGACAGTCTTTTTGTAAGGTCACATGTTTCTAATTAAATTTTCATTGATTCTTGGGCCTCCCTGGTGGCTCAAGGGGTTAAGATGCAACCTATGAAGAAATTGGCAGCCACTGCAGCAAGAATACAATCACTGGCCGGCCAGGGAGCAACCTACATGGCAAAGCAGACATCTCCTGTCTTAACCTGCCGCTCCCCTCAGCAGTGTACTTCAGTCAGTCTGCCTGTTCTGTTCCATACTCTGTCTCTGGTGAATCCTCTCACCCCCCAGACCTCTGGCCTGTACCCAGTTCTTGTTTGCATAAATAAATAAATCTTTAAAAAATTTTTCATTGATTCTTGAGGAATAGCTTTAAAATGAACATGGATTAGATTTGAAAGCTTTGCACAGAGCACAAAAAATACAAGTGTAAATATATGATAAATTATTTTAAAGTGTTTTTAAGGTTGATTTTCAGCATTTTGCAGACATCTTTCCCATAAAATAACCAAAGATTCCTTTTAAAGTTACTTAGCAAAGTAGTGGTTCAAAACTGCTTTTTGACTTTTCCACTTAAAAGATTTATTAGATGGTCAAATGAAGAACATAATTTTAAAACTTATCCAGCAATATAATATAGTAGATAAGACCTTAGACTAAAAAAAAAAAATGAGCTGCCCCATGTTCAAATCCTAGACCAACAATTTACTAGTTTACTAGTTGGAAAAATTTTCAACCTTTTTATGTTTATACCTCAGTTCTTTACCAATAACCCTCAAAGTTGTGAACATAATAGCTAAAATATTTAAAGCTCCTCTCATGGTACTTGGCATATAGTAAGTAACAGTATACCTTTTGTATACTCAGCAGATAAAAAGCTATAGTAATAAACACATTAATTGAGTTATTCCTAAAGACCTACATGTATCTCCCTTAACACCTAGATATTTAAAAGACAACCAGATCAATGTTTCTTTTTTTCTTAAGATTTATTTATTTATTTATTTGTTTGTTTGTTTGTTTGTTTGTTTATTTATTTATTTATTTATTTATTTATACAAGCACTGGGTACAGTCAGAAGCACAGGAGGGTGAGAGAATTCACCAGAGCCAGAGAGGGAAACAGAACAGGCAGACCAATGAAATACACTGCTGAGGGGAGCAGTGGGCGCTGCAGGAGAGGTCTGTCGCAACATGTGGGACCCTCGCTGGCAGTTGGGGATCGAACCGGTGCTGCAGAGGCTGCGGGCAGCTTCACAGCCCAGCGCTCAACCGCTGTGCCACCAGCGGAGGCCCCAGACTCAGTGTTTCTTAAGGTACAAATAAAGCCAGGGTAAATTCCTTTGTAAAAATGCAAAACGATAAATATAAAGTTCAAAATGCTTAGTATTTGTGGAATGGTTAGGTTTCCTCCCATTGCCCATATATAGACAACAATTCAATCACCTAGATAAATCTACTTCCATGTGTGTTAGAAAATCAGGTAGGCCTGAAGTAAGATAGAAGTTAGGACCCCATGACAATCTCCCTTAACTTCAATCAGCAGCTAGGCTTTACAAAGAATGCAAATTTATCTGTGAAAATCCCTAAGCTACTACCCAATATTTTGGTCTGGGATTCTGGAAGGTTATTGCTAAACTTAAGAACCATGGGACAAAATAAGGGGGTTGCAATTGTATGGGGAATATAAAAATAAAATTTATTTAAAAAAAGAAAAAAGAAAAATACAATTTCAGTACTTGATAATATATAATAAATACTAGCTTCAGGTTGTTTCCCCCATGGAAAAAAAAAAAAAAAAAAAAGAACCATGGGTAAGGCCTCCCTGGTGGCGCAGCAGGTTGAGCACCACATTGTGAAGCTGTCCACAGGCTCTAGAGTGCGGGTTAGATGCCCAGCCTGGCAGGGAGATACCCACATGGCGCGGCAGACCTCTCCTGTCCCTCCTGCTGCTCCCCTCAGCAGTGTCTTTGGTCCATCAGCCTTTTCTGCTCCCCACTCTGTCTGGTACATTCTCTCACCCTCCCGTGCCTCTGGCCTGTGACCCAGTTCTTGTATAAACAAATAAATCTTCAAAAACAAAAAAAGAACCATGAGAAAACTTTCTTGTTTGTGACTTTTCTCTCCAGTAAGTTTTGCGTTGGTCATGTGTTCTGACTTCAGCCCTGAAATTCCTCATTTTTTCTCTAGAATCTTTACTTACTAGAGAGCCTTTTAGCTATGTCCATGGCAAAGCAGGACCTCCCCTAGCAGGTAAAACTGCCTGGTGAATCCACCCCTCAGAGGCGTGTCAGTACCATTTCCTGGAGCAATCTCACAGGGTGGTTCCACTTTCCATTTGCACTCAAATACTTTGCTGCCTCCTCTGCAGTTGCCAGACCTGCTTCTGCTGCTGCTCAGGTAACTTATTTCTCCCTGTCAACACTATAGGCAGAAGTGGTTGATAAATGCTTTTACATGTACCTGCTTGTCTACCTTCCTACCCCTTTCTTTTATGATCTCTCTTGCGCTTTGTTCCTTAGGGAGAACATCTGTGGAGTACCTTGCTGATCACTGAGAAGATGAGCTCAGGCTATTGGAGTGAGATGAGCCACAGCAGCTGTGGGACCCAGCAGCCCCAAGAGATACTGCAGTGCCAACCCCAGCATTATCCCTGCTACCAGTCAAGCCTCGGCCAGCAGGCTCCAGAAAAAAATGTAGTATATGAACGAGTAAGGACCTACAGTGGGCCCATGAACAAAGTGGTTCAGGCCTTGGACCCCATCGGCTCACGGGAAACACTCTCCCCCCTCAAAACTGCCTCCTCCTGCCAAAATTTGGTTTGGAGCGACCAATCCCAGGTACCACAGACAGCTATGCCAGCTAGTGGACAGGGGAAATCTTGAACCTTATTTCTTTTCTTTCTCCTCTGCCTCTGTTCTACAAGATGTTATCTCTTGGTGGATTGCAACTACATATGCAATGAATAGTCATCTCCTGGTTGTTCCTTCATTTTTTAATGCCTGTGTTGTTTGTTCATCAGTTCCAATGATTTTCATAATCTAATTAGGGCATCTAATAATTCATTTTTGTGTTGGATTGATTGGAATATGTGATTTGAGGTTTTATTTTTGCCCCTATTGCAAAGCAATTCTCACCTTGAATACAATATTTTATTTTAGAATAGGTTTCCACTTCTTCACTTCATATTAGAAGTAAACAGGTGTTACTGGGTTTTTTTTGTATCAAATATGATGGTGCACTGACAATGGCATGAATGGTGCGACAAGCAGTTATTTGTGTTCAGCAAACAGTATGCTGCTCCAGGACAGGCAAAAAAGTCTGTTTAAATGGTCAAATATGTTTCAGCTTCTGAAAATGACACAATGGTTCTTGTGAAGTCAAGATGAAAATTTATGAATATTGGTAGGAGGAATATTGAAAGAGTTGATATATAAGTCCACTAGACGATACAGACTTCCACATAGAAGGCAAGATGTAAGCAATTGTTATGTAAAAGATAAAAAGGTGAAACTCTAAGACACCCTTTAAAATGAAATGTTTGTTTTAAAAGTGGATATCTTAGCATCGGTATTGTGCTAATAATCTTGCCAATGAATGTAAAAGAACATTGCAAGACTATGTTAAATTAAGACTCAATGTCTATTTTCATTCTTTGTTTCTCTTTACATTAAAATTTGCATGTTTTTAAACTTTCTGAAACTTCTGTCAAAACTGAAATCTTATTTGCAAGGTATAATTTGTATTATATATAACTCAAAAAGCAACCATTAGATATTATTATATGCTGCATTATTATACCAATCTGGAAAAATATGAATTAATTTTCAAAAATCACAAGATAAAGTAAGGTATGAAAAAATATTTCTAGTGTATATAATCAAACCTTTAAAAAACATAGATACGTAATAACTACAAAAGCTACAATTTTGCTATTGTATTTAAGTACTACTTAAATTGTAGGGAAAATATGAAAAATTAATATGGAATTTTCTGTCAGTAATTTCCTAGTTGAGAAAAACTCCACTTGTATTGAAATCAAAGGGAAAAATATGATGGCTAAAATATACTAATTTGTGTAAGTGGCAATAATATTGTAAGATATACATCCCATAGTCAGGATGTTAATGAACAACAAAATGGGTGTCATCTATGTTCCATAGTAGCCCAAAACAATTTGAAAGTCAAAAACAGCAATAATCATGGGCTAAAATCATCCAATTTGTCATAACCATTTAAACTTATTAATCTGTTTTCTTGTCAAATTTTTAGTAAAAGAAAGATAGATATAAATTTAAAAGCTGAAATTTGGCAAATTATAAATATTGACTACAAAACAATTTGTAGAATCACACATTATTGTATGTTCCTTATATTCCTGGGGCTAAGCTGGTCAAGCTGTTTACAAGGCTTTGGGTCTTTCTTCCTGATAATTGCTAACGTGATCCTTGCAAGTCTATTTCCACCCTAGAGAAGTGTATAAAGAATATACACCATAGAGGAGTGCTTAAAGTATCCTAGGGACAGAAAGTATGGCCACAGAAACTGGGATAAGAGATTGAAACGGAGGGTGTTGTGAAGCCTGGAGTTTTTTATCATTAAAAAGAAAGAGAAATAAGGCATGTGTGGGGATGCAGGAGGTAATTTTAGACACGTGGTAAAGGGGGAAAAAAGAAGCTTCATTGCCTTAGTAAAATAAGAGAATACAGTTAAGATATCTAAGGGCATTCACAAATCCACTAAAAGATAATTTGGCAAAGAATATGGCTAGGAAACGTCTTTCTTATTTCACTTTCTCCCTGTTTATTGGCAGGTGGCATTGTGCAAAGTAAAACTTAGATTTGATCCAAAATTACCTTTATGCTAAAAAAATGGGTGAGATGTGGCAACACTTTATTATGTACCGTGCCAAGTACAAGCAAGCAGTACATATTACTTAAAAAGTTTTTCTTTGTTTTCATGTTTTAATAGTGTCTCTCCTTAATATGTCATGCTTTGGAGTTGGTATTTAACAATTGTTCTGATTATAAAGTTTGTGATCATGGCAGCTAGAAAAGGGGTATTATAATCAACTGTTAGTCATCATGAAATCATTTAAACCTTTCATTGTTTTTAGAGTTGTGTTGTTTGGATGACATTCAGAGGATTCATAAGATTTTTTTAAAAACATGTATCTGCCAGTTGTAATATATATACGTTCCCTTTGAGAAACAAAAATTGATGCTTTTCTACTTTGCTTCTTGAATCTTAACTTTATCTTATGTGGTAGGCATTTAGTTCTAACCAATTGCTTTTTGCAACAATTTACTATTTTCTGTTTTTGGCTTTTTAGTACCTGTTTTTCCTCTATTGCTTTCTTGTGCACTGAAGTGGTATTTAAACCTAAACATATTTTAAATTTCTCTGGATATAATGTTGCTTTGCTTCCTGTCTATAATCTGTCAGATATATTTTATGATTCTCTTTGTTATTATTCTATCTGGTTGAGTGTTTATCAGAAAAAAAAATGAATATAGAAAAGAGCTGCTGATGAAATTGTCTAAATTCATGATAAAATTAAAATTGCTAGTTTTATCCATAGGAACAGGCATAATCAAATAGAGGTGTCATTGAGCTCATAGATATATTTTAAAACTCAATATAAACTTATAAATAAATGGAGCTCTAGAAGCTACATAAAACAAAAGAAATACAAAAACCTTACAGTTACACCTTTCTAAAAGCTTAAATATTAACCTATCATCATTAACTCAAAAAGAAAAACTGCCTTCAGTGAATAGCGTAGATATGAATTACTCATTGCATACATTTTCCCTTCCATTAACTTAACTTTTCATGAAGTTCAAGACACTTTTAAAAAGATTTATTTATTTATCATACAAGAGCTGGGGTACAGGCCAGAGATGTGGGGGGTGAGACGATTCACCAGAGACAGAGTGGGGAACAGAACAGGCAGACTGACCGAAACACACTGCTGAGAGGAATAGTGGGCGACACAGGAGAGGTCTGCCTCGCCATGTGTGTTGCTCCCTGGCCAGCTGGGGATCGAACTCGTGCTGCAGAGGCTGCGGATTGCTTCATAGTGAAGTGCTTAATCCCTTGTGCCACCAGGGAGGCAAGTTCAAGACATTTTCCACATATACGGAGGAGTTCATTTGTGTGAATGAGCGAGGGCTCACAATAAAAATTTTTTATTACCAGTCATTCATTGAGCTCATATTAATTAAATGTCTGCTATGTAGGAAGTACCAGATAAATAGTATTTGCTTATCCAGAGAGAGTTCACATTGATGATAAACATTCAGTCTAGTCTGTAGATGTCCCATAGGTATATATTTCATTTTTAAATATTGTTTTGTGTTTTGACCATCAATATTTTATTATTAAATAAAAAAAGTTTTGGTGCAAGAAGTTGTTATAAGGGCTACTGTTTCTTTGAATTGAAACTTGCAACCAAATTTAATTCTGGTGTGCAGTCCAGGGGAGGATGTGTATTTATGGACAGTCTGTGCTCTCAATAATTGCTCAGCTTGAGGTTATTTTTGTTTATAAGATTTTTTCCTTATTCTTTAATTACAAATATTATGGGTAGCTTCTCTAATGCCATGAGTTCTCTGTACTATCAGAAAATTTTCCTGTTCTTGGGAAAGGGTGTGTTGTTTGATAAACTGTACTTCAAGGGTGTGGCCACTAAAGTGAATGATTGTTCACGGAAGTAGGTGGCCTGAAAAAGAAATGAGGTCATAGGATAAAGAGGCCTACATTTGCAGCTTTGTGCTTACAATTAAATGAAGCTGTACAAATCGCAAGGGCAAATTATTGCTGGTTGAAATACCCATACCATTGTTTCTTGTTTAAGGGTGGAAAGGTTTGTAAAATTGCTGGGCCAGTATTCAATCAACAGCGTTTATTATGTGTCCTGTGGGGTGGGAGTAGTGGGGATTGTGGCTAAGGGAAGGGAGGTGAACTTGTCCTTTTACCATTGTGACCCAAATTTATTTTCTTGACAATGTTAAAATGAAAGAGGAGATTTGCCTTGGTTTGGTTTTGTCTTACCCTTTGTTTTGTTTTTCTTATTCTACATGAATGACACCATCTGATATTTACCTTTCTCTTAGTAGTTTATTTTGCTTACCATAATCCCTCCAACCTGACTTAAGAATACTAGAGGGGGTGGAGGAAGGTGGAGAGCAAAGTTGAGAAGGGGGTCCTCAGGGCTATGGTGGAGGACTATGGGTGCCTTGGTGGTGGGTGTGGTGTGATGACACACATCTAAAGAGGTGTGAACCTATAATTCTAAATTATATACAATTTTGTAAACCAATGTTACCTCAATAAAAATAATACGATTTTTTAAGAAAGCACACATTGTAAATACATTGCATATTTCATTTATCTACATACCCCATTAGTTCAGGAAAGAAGAGAAAGAATCCAGGAATAAGTCTTGTACAAATGAAAGTTTTGGGTTAGATGGAAAGGATGAGGAGAAAAGGACCTCTCTTACTAGTGCATTTTACTGTTTTCCTTACAGGAGAACAGGATCACATAGTTCATCATAAATTAAGGATGTTTTTGTTTCGTCTAAAGAGAGATTTTTATAATTTCATGCTTATTGTTGTACAAAGTTCAGAACATCACAACAATAACCTAAGGGAAGTATTTAACCATGTTACTTGCTTTGAAATGTGCTAACAAAAGGATCACCCATACTATTTAGGGAATTTATTCAAGCAGCTGCTTGTCTTTGCAAATTCTGTCAACATAAACGTCAGGTGCTTTTAAAGATTTTGAAACTGGTTGTCCTAGATTGTTTCTAAGTCACTATTATTATTTTAGT